CAGGGAGACAGCTCAGAGGGCAGGAGTGCATGGAGGGATGGACACTGGGAAGAGGTAACTATGGGGAGGAAGTGGGAAGGGAGCTGTTGCATTGTGGTAAACTGTGGTCAATGTCATGAGACAAAGTGTATGTGAACTGCTGTATGGAAAGTGAATTTGCTCTGTAAATCTTCACCCAAATCACAATAAAAAAGAAAGAAAATGCCCTTCTGTGTTGGGATTACTTGCCAGCCTATTAGCCCACTTTGCCTTCTTGGAGATTTACTGGGACAGCTCCAGCCTTCTCCATGGGGCTTCTTAACCTTCTTAACCTGTGGTTCAGGCACCCAGAATCCAGAAGATTTATGAACTGAGATGAGAGAAATAAACAAGTAGAATTAGCAGTACTTGTGATTATCTCCCACACAAATCACAGGTATTTTCATATCGCAGGACAGTTGTTACAAGAAAAAAAAAAACAAAAACCCACTGCTATCAGGTCAATTCTGACTCATAGCAGCCCTATCTATATAACAGAGTAGAACTGCCCCATAGGGTTTCCAAGCCTGTTAATCTTTATGAAACATTGCCACATCTTTCTCCCACGGAGTGTCTGGTGGGTTCAAATCGCCAACCTTTTAGTTAGCAGCCAAGCACCTTAACTACTGTGCCAACGGGGTACCTTAAAATAGCATTCACACTTACTCTGACTTCATATTTCTGGTTTTTATCAGTCCTATCTCTAACTCTTATAATTTAATGAGTTTAATAAAGAATCACAGGTATTTCTGTATTACAAATGTGTGTTGTATGTTTGAATAATTGTATTTCAATATTACTGGCCTTCTTTGTAATGCAATATACTTTATATGTTTCAAAACATGGTTCTAAGCAGGGGTCCTTCGTCTTCTCCAAATGCTAAGCGTGTCCTTGGCACAGTACAAGGTTGGAAGCCCTGTCCTAAATCGTCACTTCATCCTGGCCCCTAGGGCTATGATGGCAGGTTCACTCACTCTGTGTTTGGGAGCTCTGGTAGTGTAGTGCCTAAGGCACTTGACTGCTAACCAGAAGGCTGGGTTTTCAAACCCACCAGTCACTACTCGGAAAGAAGATGGGTCAATCTACTTCCTTAGTGATACTGCCTTGGAAACCCAAGGAGGGGTCACTATGAGTCGGGTCTGACTCAATGGCACATAACAACATAACAACCTGTGGCTTCCAGACGAATAAGACAGGCATGTGGGCTGATCATTTACATCAGGTAGATATATTATTGGATCAATCAAACATGGGAGAACAGGAGAGCAGTGTATGCACAGTGAGACAACTTGGGGCAGGCAGGAATGCATGGGAGGGAAGGACACAGGAAAGAGGTAAGAATGGGGAGGAAATGGGAAGAGAGCTGTTACATTGTTGGGAATTGCAGTCAGTGTCATGAAACAAAATGTGTATGAACTGTTGTGTGGAAAATCAGTTTGCTCTGCAAACTTTCACCCAAATCACAATAAAAATAATAATAAAAAAAAAAGTCACCTGGTGGAATGAATTGGCATGTTAGGAAAAGTAAGCAGGGGTGTGTCCCTCAGAGTTACAGGAAGGGAGGAACAGACAGGACCAAGACAGTGTGAGGAGTGAGACACATTAAAGAAGAAAGTATGGATGCAACTCTGCCCATAGACCTCTTTTCTGGACACAAAAACTCATCCCTTAGTTTTATAGGGTTCCTATGAGTTGGAATTGACTCAATGGCAATGACTTTGTTTGGATTTTGGTTTAGTCCTAGGGCTCAGGTTGAGAGGGGCTCATCACCTTGATCCTCAGTTAATCTCCTTTAAGGATGGCCCAGAGCAGCTCAGCCTGGACCTCCTTGTGTCTAGTGCCCTAACACTGGGCCCCCACACCTAGCAAGGTCCTCACTTCAAAGAAAATCATCTGAACTCCAGAAAATCTGTCAAAGCAGTGTGATGGATTATTTGGGGGTGGGGTGGGTGGAACTGAAGAAATGGTTACAGTACACCAGTACTAAAGGAGTGGATGTCCTGGGGCCATCCCTTCTAGTGTCACAGAACCTCTGAACTCTGGTCTCTTCTTCTGCACGCCCCCCCCTTCTTTAACTTTCTCAATGCTTGGTTCTCTCCCCACCCTCCCTAAGCTTGCACTCCCAAAGGGAGACAAAGAACAACTAGCACACCTGGGAGGCCTCACCTGGGCTGGAAGATTCAAGTCATCTCACTCCAGCCTCATTTCTAAGTTGAGGAAACTGAGATGCATTTGCCCAAAGTTGGTGGATAGCACAAGTCTCCAGACTCCAGGCCAAGCTTCCCAGCTGAGTGCACATGTCCTGGAAGGTTGGAAGGGGGTCATTGGACCTAAGGGAGGAGTCTGTCTGAGGGCGGTGTCTCTGCATCCCAGGGAGGAAAAAGACTAGGAATGGCAGTAGCCAAAAAGGGGCTGGATCATGAGGAGAGGGGAGTCTGCCTTCAGCCTCCAACTCAAAGCCACCCTGGCCTGCATGGCCCAGGCCACTGAGGGCTCTTCTTGCTGAGGGGTCCGGCTGAGACCCACCCAGACCCCAGGGCCACTTTCTATCCAGTCTCCCAGTAAGGTATCACTGAGGCGTGGAGGCCGGGGATTCCCCAGTTCGTGACTACGATCATGGGACGCTGACTCACAGCCGACCACCTGACCCTGGAGAGGGCCCTGCCAGGGGGTTCCCCAGCGCACAGCCTTGTTTACCTCCCGGAGGGCCTTAGGGGCGGGGAAGGGTGAGGGCCGCGCTCAGCAGCAGGGCATGCTGGGAAGGGCTGAGCCCGTGCTCCTCAGGGGAGATTGGAGGATGGCGGGTGGTGGTCTCCAGCCCTGCTTCCCAGAGCCCATTTCTTGTCAGCCCCTTTCTCTGAGCCTTCCCATCCCTGCCTGCAAGCCCACCGCGGTCCCATACGGGCATAAAATAGAAAGCAGAGTTCCTGGTGGCAGCCTCGGGGTTCCACTGCTTGTTTGGGCAGGGGCTGCCTTGGGCTGTACTTGAAATCGGCGTTCCCCCCAACCAGATGACCTGTGCGCCCCTACCACGCTCAGATTGGGACACTGAAGCTTTGGGGGCGGGGCGGCCAGTGGAGCTGGGGCAGAAAGCGAGATTTTAGCCCAACGGTCGGGGTTCCGTATTCCCCAGGCCTGAGCACCGCTGAATCACTCCAGCTCTCACCTGCTGGCGCCCGGTAGCCTCTGCCCGGCACGCCCCTTCCGGCCCTTCACTCTTCTCGCAGGTCCGTGGGTCTCAGTGCTTGGAGGGTCACTTTATCAGGCTTAGCATTCCATCTGCCCAGGAAGAAGTGCAGCCGGAATGCTCCCTGTAAGCGGGAATGGCCCGACTTCCTCTCACCCACTTTGGTCATGCTGTTAGAAAGGACCATTATCTGGAGAAAGATCTCATACTTGCTAAAGTGGAGGGTCAACGAAAAAGGGGAAGGCCCCCAACAAGATGGATTGACACAGTGGCTGCAACGATGGGCTCAGGTATAGCAAGGATCATGAGGCTGGTTCAGGACCAGTCAGTGTTTCTTTCTGTTGGTCACTATGAATTGGAGATGACTCAATGGCACATGACAACAGTAACAAATAATTGGAGACGCAGTGGGTGTGATGGAGAGGGTACCATCCATTCCACAAGGCTGCTTGCTCCAGGCTGCGGTGCCTGCTACCCATGCCATCTGGAGCTCTTAGGGAAGGTTCAGCCATACCTGTGGACAAGCCACTGTGTGCTCCAATATGCAAATCACCTCTGCACAGTGACTACCCCCTAGTCCAACAAACTTTCCCTTAGTCTCTGGGTTTCCCAGCCCTCCTGCTCCCACAAAATCTATCAAGTGAAAAGATCAAGTTTGACTCAGCAGTTCTGACCTACTCACAGGACTCCATCTGGTGCATCATACGATGACATACCCTTCCTGCCTAGCTCCTTCCAAGCGTTCACCACCGCTCCTCAGAGGTGCTTCCCCAGGCCTTTTGAACAGGTCACTTTGGTCACACCTAACAGTATTTTTTGGCTTGTAGTCTGACCCCGTGCCTGTGAGGTCAACAGGCTGTGAACCCTTGGACACCACATGCTGAATTGAACCCTATGCTGACAGGTGTCTGGGCACGCAGGAAATTTCTTGGACTGCAGTGACCACATGGTGACCAGTGACATTGCAGGAAGTTTCAGTGGCCATCCAGCAGAGTGAGGACTCTGGGGGGTGCTCACCAGCCCCTGCTCCTTGCACTTTGCTAGAATCTCTCAACCCATTCTCTTCACCCATTAAAATGGAAGCACTTCTGTTGGATGGAGGATAAATGGTCTAGGAGGTTGCTCTTGGCTGCCACACAGGAGGCTGATTTTCCCCAATGGCCTGGAGACTACCAAGTTAGCAGCGTCAGTCTTACCACCCCCAGGGCTTGTTCTGGCCAGTAGTGCCCACTGAACTGCCTAAACACTTCTGGCATCAGGCCTGTGTGCGCCCACCACCCCTTGCTCTGGGCATTCCCTGCGGCCTGGGGATGCTTTGCTGAGTCATGGCCAGGCCCA